CTACACCCACTTACGGAACTGAAATTCAAATCAAACCCACCTTCATATTTTGTCATCGTGAGAAAGGAGTTATATACTTGATGTTAAATAAGTGTCTTAATGTTTTGTTTTTTGCCAGGAACCACAACTAACTGCCTGCCAGCCATTTGATGTGTATACCAGACCTTTTCTCCCTTTGATTCCTTCTGGGATTCCTTTAAGGAGCTTCTGAAGTGCCAAGACGATAACCAGGCAAGCATAGTCACAGACAATTCACCCACCATTCACCCAAGTGTGGATATATGTCCGTACAATACCATAATTGAATTTCAACCATATCTATACCTGGTTTGGTTCTGTGTGCAAACTTTTAGTGGTTTACAAAGACGAAGGGCTACTAGCATCTCTCTGATTTTTTTCTCTCATATAATTTATTTCTGTGAATACTTGCATTAAGACTTCATGTTTAATAACCCATTGTGTCATTTCATTAAAATATGTACAGAAAAACAAAGCTTCTTTTGGTATATAAATAGTTTTTTATTTTCTAAAAATTCATGTATTTATTTAAAAGAAATGTGTACAAATTAGATGTTCGTAAACTAATTATAAAGTATAAATAAATTAGTCATGTAATAATGATTAGTATCGGAATTTCTCGTGCTTATGATTTAGAATCATTCAACAATTGTTCTTCTAAAAATACTTACCATCAGTCAATTTATATTAATTTGATATGTGTAGAATAAAAATCATCAATCATATCGAATACCAATTAAACTTTCGGCATAACCACGACTCGACCGTAACGAGTTGTCTGCTGGTTTGCCGAAGAATCGACCGGCCTGAAGAAGCTGACCACCAAACGTGGTTAGACCTATCAAATTTGATCGGTCTAGCTTATATTTAAGATTTGGATATTCGGTCGGACTCGAGTTTCCCCAACCAACAGAAGTATTTTATTTGGACTCTAGTTATATGCCCGAACCAGCAGATAATGTTGTATTTCATATGTAGCAAACAAGATGAGAAAAGCAAGCCCCAGAAGCCTAAAAATTTGGTTGATGCTCAATTGAACCTTTGACGATTGAGGAGAACAATTTGAGGAAATAATATATAGAAGGCATTAAGATGGTGAACCCAATATGTAACTCCCCAAACCCACCGGCCCGCAAGATATTTTCGCAGATTAGTAAAGGCTCTAGAAATGCTAGACAAGAATTTCTTCTAACAAGATACAAACGAGCATCACTATCCTCTAAATAAATTTTTCTAATATCCTTGATCTGTTAGGATCTGGAGGTCGAAAATCCTCCAAACGCAAATTGGAGCTTCTTCGAATGTC